ACAAAAGGGAAGGGAGAATAAGCCTTCGATGTACGTAGCCGGAGCTCTCCTCGGCCACCAAGACTCGCCTTAGCTCATTAGCTCCTCTCGGACGCCTAGCTTGCCACTCCTTGGAGCTCGTCAATGGAGGAACACCACTAGAGAATGAAAAGAATGATATGAAGAATAATATAATAAAATCTAGCTGAATGTGATTGATCCTCCTCTCTTTTCTCATATGTGGTGTATATAATAATGTAATATCTAAGGGTAATAATGGGTTTTAAGTTTCCAATTATCCATCGTACCTCTAGAATCATGGCAGTGGTCCCCAACAGACAGTTATAACCATCAAACACGTGTCTTACAAGCTGTCATTTTACAAAATTATATTTTTGTCCTTTTCTGCGCTAGAAATACCAAGGCATTTCAATATGCTTTAGCAACATGTGATGTCACGACATTCTTTCCCAGTGCAACATTTTACTTGCTATTTCCTGCACAACATAAACAACTGCACCTTTCCTCACACATCATCTTTACAAGATAAAATAACAATACCACTACTAATGCAACAAAATGCAACTACATGATCCTAAAAATAGTGAAACGAGATTTTAAACAAACAATAACTTAAGTGAAAAAGGCCTTAAAAGTAGCATTTTTAGGAAGTTATCAGCCATGCAAGAAGTGATGCAATCCTTGCATGAGAATCATACTTATGAACTTGTGGAGCTACCAAAAAAGAGAAGAGCCTTGAAGAATAAGTGGGTGAATCGGATCAAGACTAAAGATAAAAGCTCAAAGCCTCACTATAAAGTTCGGTTGGTCATCAAAGGATTTAGACAAGAAAAAGGTATAGACTTTGATGAAATATTCTCTCCCGTGGTAAAAATGTCATCCATCCGAATGGTCTTTAGCTTAGCAGTCGTGCAAGATTTGCATATTGAACAGCTCGATGTCAATACGGTGTTTCTATATGGTGATCTAGAGGAAGAAAACTACATTGAACAGCATGAGGGATTCAAAGTTCAAGGCAAATAAAATCTAGTGTGTCGTCTGACTAAGAGTATATACGGGCTTAAGCAAGCACCAAGGTAATGGTACAAAAAGTTTGACTTTTTCATGGCATAACATGATTTCACGAAGACGAAAATTGATCATTGTGTCTTCATAAAAAGGTATGCAAGTGGCTACTTTCTCATACTTCTGCTCTATGTTAATGATATGTTAATTATTGGACAAGATCGTATGAAGATATCTGCTTTAAAAAAACTAAGTAAGAGTTTCACCATAAAATATTTAGGACCGGCTAAACAAATCCATGGGATAAGAATAACTCGTGATAGATCAAAGAGACTATTATGGTTATCCCAAGAGAGATACATTGAGAAAGTGTTGATAAGATTCAACATGCACAAATCAAGGTCGGATAACAAACCACTTGCTGGACACTTCAAGCTGAGTTCGAAGCAAAGTCCCACAAGTGAGAACAAAATAAAGGAAATAAAGAAAATTCCATACTCATATGTAATAGGCAGTCTCATGTATGCAATGATATCCATAAAACAAGATATCGCCTATGCAATTGGAGTCGTGAGTCACTTCTTGGCCAACCCAGGGAATGAACATTGGGTTACAGCCAAATGGGTCCTCTGATATCTACGAGGAACTTCCAAAATGTGTTTATGCTTTGGGAAAGGAAAACCTGTGTTGGAAGGATACACAGATGCATACTTGGCTGGTGATATTGATTCAAGAAAATCAACATTGGGATACCTAACTACTTTTGCAAGGGGAGCTGTCTCGTGCAATCTAAGCTGCAAAAGTGTGTTGTATTGTCCAATACTGAGGAAGAGTACATCACAACTACTGAAGCTTGCAAGAATATGTTGTGGATGAAGAATTTATTGTTGGAGCTGGGAATAGATCAAGAAAAGTATGTCTTAAAGTGCGACAATCAAAGTGCAATTTATCTGGCAAAGAATTCAACATTTCATTCCCGCACAATGGACATAGACACCACATATCATTGGATCCGATAATTTTTCGAAGAAAAGCAAATACATCTTGAAAAAGTTCACACAGATGAGAATTGGTCAGACATGAAGACAAAGTAATACTGACAAAGAAGTTTAAAGATTGCTATCAAGGTGTCGGCTTGCTACTACCTCCCAATTAAGTCGAGAGATGGAGATTTGTTGGATCCCTCCTTAATTGGAGAGGTTCTAGAAAATTCTAGAGCTTTCTGGAGAAGTATAGAATTTTCTAGAACATTCCGGAGAACTCTAGAGAAGTGTAGAACTCTCTAGAAGCTTGTGGAAGAGTGTGGAATCCTCTAAAATATTCTGGAGATGTGTAGAACCTTATGGAAGAGTATGGAATAGTGTAAAGCTTTTTAGAGTGTGTGGAACATTCTAGATAATTAACCTCCGTCCTTGGATGCAAGTAATCTCCACTATTCATTGTAGAGGTGGAATAGTATAAATAGGAGTGAGAGACTTCATTCCTATCCATCCAAAATTCAAAAACACTAAGAGATTTCACTTCTTAGAGAGAGAAACTAGAGAGTTAGAGAGCCTCTTTGAGAGAAAATAGAGATAGATTGGGAAGTCTTTATCCTCAAGTTTGAGTGAGCTACCAAGTGTGAGTCAAATTTTGTGAAAATATCTTTGTAATCTTACTATTCTTTTGTATAGTGAAAGAATCTTCAAATTGGAGAATTATACTCTTGTGCTCTCTTTACTATCTTTTAATTTATAAGTGTCTATCTTAACTTCACGAAGCGGGAAATATCGTTATTCCCAACACAATGTAGGAACAAATGACATCCATAAGGAAATTATCTTCAAAGACTGATGAAATCAAAAGGGGAAGATGGATAATTGAAGTTAGACACGCTTGAAGAGAAGGAAACTGTTATCCTGGTCAAATGGATATATTTTATTTAACATGATGTAATAATATTATTTATATTTGTTATTAAATTTAAATAAAAAATTGGAATTAAACAGTATCTACTTGAAACTATACATCTACCTCTAGTCTAATTTTTGTTGTTCATCCATGGGGAATGATAATTTGATTGGTAGACATGCTATTCTTTTACACTTCCTTTTCAAAGGTTCAAATGTTGTAATCATATGCAACGCGTTTCATATTGATATGACCATTTTTATATAAAAAAACACAATTGCACAATTACATAAAATATTCCGTTTAGATAAGCTTCTTAAAATAATGTACTACTACCTCATTTCCGTTAAAGTAAGAAATAGGAAATACATGAATCAAGCAATTGTAATAAATTGTTATTATTTTTTTAACTTTAAGTCCGAACATAATGCATACTAAAGTATAAGTGTTTATTATAAAATAATTAAAAAATTTAAATACATATTATTTTATAACTATTTTAGATTTATCAAAATAATAATAATAAATGAAAAACAAATATTAATCAGTTTTTAGTTTAACATTTTTGTAAATAAAACTGTAACTGTTTGCTTTAAAAATGATAACAATAATTATACAATTTCTAATTAATATTTACGAAGGGCTTAAATAATAAAACTTACAGCACCGACTCGCCGCTGTTAAACGCTCAACCTTGACCGAATTGGGAGTGGTGCAATCAATTTCTAGAAGGCTCAGTTCGTTTTCCTGGCTTGGTAGTTACGATTTTACTTTTAACTTGGCTCGATAGAATAAGTTGGATTAAAAAGAGGAGAGTCGACAAGGAAATATAAAAAAAAAAACACGAATGAAATAAATTTTGACTATCTTGGAAAGAAATGTGTAGTAATTTTTGTTTTTTTCAATACTCTTCTGTCCATTAAGTAGGATAATCTTTTATTTTTTAAATTATTATATATTAAGTTATCTCCCCCGTTAAAAATTATTTGCCAAAATGATTACGAACGATAATTTTAGTATTTGAATGCACTGCAAAAAATACTTTAAACTAATATTACTTACTAATTTTGAAAATGGATTAATTTGCAAATTATAATAAATTAGATTTCAGCGACTAACTCGGCAACACCCCATTCCCTCTTTGTTTTAGAAAGGAAGAGGATTGGTTAGTTAAGGGTAAAGTCCAACGCCACGTGTGATTAAAGCGTAAAAACGCGTTGTCAATAGGAAACCCATTTTGTTTATGGAGATGGTTGTCTGTTGTTTCATCTTCAACAATAATACGAAATCCATTTTCTTCAAATAAGAGTACTTCTAACTCTGAATCTCCAAGATTCTCCTTTTTTTTTTAAATAATTATGAACCATATATTATACGAACCCTAAACCTTGAAATTCTTCAACAATCTTAGAATATACATGCAAAAAATTATATTAGGAAGTGCGAATTTAAGAAGTTATATTAAAACTTTTAAAGGTGTGAAATTATAAAATTCTAGATAATTAATAGAAAATATAAAGAGAAAAATCTAAAATATAAGAGAAATTAAAAATTATCAAGAGGCAACCGCACCACCAACACCCGATAGGTCCGATAGGTCTATCAAACATGCAATATAATACAATACATGGCGTAAAGTTATCAAACCAACTCTTCATAGTGTATTCCACCATGCAAAACTATCAATCTCTTTCCATATCTTTTGGATTGTTAGTTAAAATCATTACTTTATTTAAGGGACCTAATTACCATTTCACCTAACAAACGAAAAAGACTTTATCCAGGTAAATATATTTTCTGTTTAATTTATTTCAGTATTTTTACCGTGAATCCAACATCCACACCAACCATGAAACCCTTTAAAACTTTAAATATGTAGTTTTAAAAAATAATTTAAGAAAAAAAATAGAGGAAAATTGGATATGACTGCATCATTCGAAACTCAAAACTGTGCCACATGCACGCATGACAGCCTCTACGCACTAACGTAGCTACTCGGAAGCTCACTTCCTCCATAATATTAACTCAGTCCCCACCCTTCACCATCACTTGCCTATATATATATTTATACATATGGATAATCATCCATTCAAGCATCACTCTTCTTTCGACTTTGATTTATTTCTTAGTTCTGCGGGAGATTAATTAAATGGAACACCAGGGAAGAGCTTACAGAGGTGTGCGTCAAAGAAAATGGGGGAAATGGGTGTCTGAAATCCGGGAGCCGGGGAAGAAGACCCGAATATGGCTCGGAAGCTACGAGACAGCCGAAATGGCAGCGGCTGCCTATGACGTGGCCGCACTACACTTCCGTGGTCGAGCTGCTCGGCTTAACTTTCCGGAGCTTGTCGATAGCCTTCCACGTCCTGCTAGCTCCACCGCGGAAGACGTTCAAATGGCAGCTCAAGAGGCGGCACTGAGGCTCGGTCGAAGACCCAAGTTGAACTCGGAAGTGGGTTCGGAGGTAGCTGGCGGGAGCCTTGGTCCAATAAGGACCGGACTTTCACCGAGCCAAATTCAAGCTATCAATGAGTTCCCACTGGATTCTCCCAAGATGTGGATGGAACTGGCTGGTGCACTTTTGTTGGCTGATCCAATCATGTGTTGGGGCGATGATGCCGAGTTCACGACTGAATATGAAGAAATTCTGGTTGACCCTATTTGGGATTAAATATTTTTTACCACACGGATTCGTCATTGATATACTGTTGGTTAAGTCTTTCAATTTAATTTCATGAGTAAATTAAAAAAATTTACTCGTTGAATTTAAAAACGGACTCACAGTATATCAAGTCAAATAAAATTCCTGCATACACACCCCTTTTTTAACGAGGGGAAATTATACAAAAACTGTGCCTCCTATCAAGCTAGGTGACAATGCTTGCAACTTGCAAGAAGCATAATCATATTGCATAAAGTAATTAATTAATCAAAATTTCATAACAAGGATGACATTTAAGAGGTTTGTTTAGGATTTGGGTTCTAGTAACTTTTTTTTTTCCTTTTTTAGTTTTAGATTGTGAGTATATATGAACATATGTGGTGGGAGAGGCTTCGGTATTAAGTTGATAAGAACTTTAAGTATGTATTATTTGTAATTGGTGTTTCGGTAGAAGAATTGAAGGATGTAATAAATATTTTCTTGTTTAGTTTGGAATGTAGATCAGTTCCCTTAGTTTTATTGCCCATTATGAAAATGGATTCTTCCCTTGCTTAATTACTATGAAGTGTGCATTGATTAGGGCTTGAATATTATAACCTAAAGTCATTTTAAGACATTGGGGTTTCCATTTTTTCCCCCTTCCCTTCTGCTCTCTCATTTGGTTTGTACTGTTGCTCACTGATGCCTGGACAATCAGAGGCGGCAGGTGCTTCCACTGTGTAGGAAAGGAAAATTTTGACTATTTATCTATTTGATATTTTATAAGCCTAACCAACCACTAGGGATGGAAATCAATATCCGACCCTAACTCATCCACAGTATTCTTTTTATTCCACTCGTTCCCATTTCCGTCCCAAGTTAGATATGTAGGTATATCAATCCCAAATTTAGGCCTATTTTCTAAAAAAGATATTTTTTTCAGCAACCAAACAAACTATCAATACTGTTCCCCGCAAATCAAACATAGCCAAACTATCAAACATTTAAAAAAATGTATCCTCATTATAAAATATATTTCCAAAAATGACAGATGATAATAGTGTACTTGAAAATATCATATATATAGAGGATAAACTATACTGATGGTCATTCAAGTTTGGGTGAATTTCTTATTTTATCATTGAAGTTTTAAAAGTTATAAACGATCACTAATATTATCATTTCATAACAAATCCATCCTCTCCTTCTTCCTTCTCGTCACCTTTCTCCTTAAATCTCTCATTCCTTCTCACGGTCCAACATTCAACATTGCAATTAACTGCTGACATTGCTGAGGAATAAAAAGCGTCACCAATCAAAGAACTCGAATCTTGATGACCGCCATTAGCATGGGCCGCCTGAGATCCTTTACTACGAGCAACAAAAGAACTCAAAGACCCATTCTTGAAATTATAACCTGGTGGATAACCATGCAATTTATAACATTTATCTCGTGTGACCAAGAATGTTATAATAACTGCATAAAGGCCTATTTTTGCGAGTACCAGATTGAGTCTTTACAGCAAAAGTAGGTTCTGAAATAGGATGAACAACTTGAACACTTCTATGATGTTCTTCTTGAAGAATCAATGAAAAAACTTTAGAAATAGAAGGTAGGGGATCCATCAAAATAACCTGCCCCGGACATGAGCAAAAGATTCATTCAATCCTATTAAAAATTGAATGACTTGCATCTGGCGTTGTTCATTTATCATATGTTACACTCCACAGGTACAATGGAGACAACTACACAATTGTTTGAGAGAAAACAATTTGTCCCAAATGATTTTTAGCCGAGTATAATAGGTACTTACTGATAACTAATCTAGCACAAGCTCACACATACGTTTCTTCGACTGAAATAATCAAGGGTTGTTCGATTGCTAAAAACGATCAATCAAATCTTTCCACATTTCTGCAGCTGAGGTTTGATAAAGCAAGCTTGCAGTTATGTCTTTAGAAACGGAATTTGAAATCCAAGAAATCAACAAGTTGTTAGCCTGTGTCCTAGCATGCAACTAATCTACCATGGACGAATTAGGGGCGACAATCGAACCATCAACGAACCCAAGCTTGTTCTTGGAAGAAAGAGCAAGCATCATCGATTGAAAGTTGTCAGGAGAAAGCAATTGAGACACCAAAACAACATCAGGATTATCAGATTGATACAAATAATACGGATTACCCCATTATCGAAGTTGTCATTCAATGAAGTAACCATGATGAAGCAAGAAAACGTGAAAGAAAAACTGTTGATACCATATAAAGTTCAAGAAGAGAAGAAAAAAGTGAACTGCTATATTTTCATGTACAGAAGAGTACAAAGCTGCTGTTTATATGCAACCATTGATAACTAACGACCAAGACCAACAGAAATCTAACTAAGCTAACTTAATTTATAATCAGTTAACTTGAACAATAATAAACCCTAATACCCTAATAAAAATTATAAAATGATCACTAATATTATCATTTCATAACAAATCCATCCTCTCCTTCTTCCTTCTCGTCACCTTTCTCCTCAAATCCCTCATTACTTCTCACGGTCCAACATTCATCCTCACTGCATTTGAAAAATAATTTGAGTTAATCGATGCCCTTCGCACGCTCTAACACTGGTACTGTTTTTTGGATTTGCTCTAGTATGAAACTCTTATGGGTCTTCCTCCACTGTGGTTACTTGTCACGTATACAAAACCCTTTTTTTCTAAGATACAAAACGTGTACGAACTTTGGAACTTCACAAATCAGATTAAAAAGTTGATATTCAAACGTTAAGATTCTTGATTCCTGCAATATGAGAGACAAAGCTGAAGTCAGAAATTTTATGAAGGATTTAAATATTATTTTTTATTGAACTAAATTATAGTTATTTTTAAAGGATTACGGGAAAAAAATTTATAGCTCCCAATTGAGAGATTGTGTAGTCTCTAAACCTGTTTTTTATTAACCAATAATGTTAACAATAAACATTTACCACTGTATTTTAAAGATTGTTGTTTAAACCCGATAATAATACAAATCATTAAACACTACACTAATATTTAGATCATTGCACGAAATTATAATCGGCCACTATTTGTTAAATACACGTCGTATTAAATTGAATTCAAGTATAAATTAAAATAGTTTTAAAATAAACTGTTATTTATCTCACCAATAAATCTAATCAATCAAAACATTATTTTCATTATACATAACATTGTTTAATTTGCAAATTAACAAAAGGAAGTTTGGGGTTGCCGTTGGCGTCACGGTCAATGGTAAGTTTATTAAATGTCTTCAAAGAAGACCCACTAATTGGGGGTCTTTTGACAATAACTTTTTTATTTTTATTTTGTTTAATTTTATCAAAATGGGATAAATTATTGGAGAGTCAGGAGATGTTACGTGTTTCATTTTTCTCTAAAATATTCAATAAAACCAATTTAGATTAATACTTATAAATAGGAATTGATATTTGATCTAAATTTGATTCGATCTAATCTTATAAGAATATATTTTTAAGAGAAAATTAGGGTCAAATTCATTTCTTTATAATTTTTAATTAGATTCTTATTTTGTCTAATATATATATTGTGTCAAACAAAAAAATTTATGCTAAAAATTGAATCGTGTTTCAAATCAGTTTTTTAAATTCAAATAAAATCAAATAATAAAATATTATACCTTAACAAAATTTAAATGAACTAAAAATTTAACTTGATCTAATGATTATCCATATTTACAGATATTGGTCATAAGTTTTAAAACTATTTTTATTTTTGGCTTAATACAAAAATAAGTGTTCAAATTATGTCTCGAAAAATATTTTAGTTCCTAAAGAATTTTTTACTAAAAATATGTACCTAACGTTTTATCAATTATATTTTTAGGCTCCTACCTTTTATTTTTTATTTTATAAATAAAATATTATTTTTTAAAAAAAAGAAAAAAATTAAAAACTAAACTCACTTATAAAAAAATGAAAGTTTTTAAAACTTACAAAATAACCCCGATTGAGTTTTCACCAGAACTTTGAAGCTTCTTACATGGCAAAAAGCGACGCTACTCGACGAGAGGATCCTCGGCGTGAGACGACGCTCTCACTAGTGTATGCGGTGACGATCACAGTTAGCCAGAGAAGGGTTAGGTTGCAAGGGGCAACGAACAATTTCTTATTGTTTTGTTATGATACACGGTCGATTTGGGTGATTGATGGTCTGGGTTGGGGTTGCGAGATGCCAACGAAGTTGCAGGTGATGGCGGTGGCATCGGGGAAGGGAGAAGGGAGAAGGGAGAAGGGAGAAGGGAGAGAGGGAGAGGGTGTGGGGGTGGAGGTGAGGGATGGGGATTTTTTTTTATAAAATTTATATTTATTTTTTAATAAAAAATATTTTTGCATAAATTCTCAAAATTACAATAACGTGATACATGTCATTTAATAGAAATTTTTAATAGCGGTTAACGTTCAAACACCTAAAAATGTAACGTTGAAAATATTATGCAACTATTTTTAGTGAAAAATGTTTAGACTCTAAAATATTTTTTGATATATAAATTGAATACTTATTTTTATATTAAGTTTTTATTTTTAGAGTGAAAAACCTAAAAGTAGTTATTTAAACATATAAAAACCGGTGCGAGCTGAAACACTGTGTCGTTCGACGCAATCGCTATCCCTGTATTAATATGGTTGAAATCATGTAGACCGAGTTGATTTCTCTCAATTGTTACATCAAATTGTGTAAGAGATTTTATTTAGTTTCCAGCTCATTCCCTGTAAAAGAAAAGGTAGTCTAAAGTAATCTGAAAAAGATACAGGATGTGCCGCCCAAATCTAAATGACCCACAAACCATGACTTTATGGCACCCACCCATATTTATTAATCTTCGGGGAAAGGGGTTAACTAGGTTTGTTCCTTGAATGGAGAATCATTATGTCTAGTATAGTAATCAGTCCCTTTCTTTTATTATTTAAATTTATATTCCGATATCCTTCCATTTAATAGAATATTCTGTCTATGTTAATTATATTTGTTAGTTCATTATTTATAAATTTTTGTAGTAAGTTAGATTATAATTGAACTGAATTGTATTATAGAATAATATGTAAGAGAATTAAGATATGATAAACTTTATATCCCGAAAAAGTTTGTAATACTTAAATCAATAATCTAATAAGTAGAAGGAAAAAGTGGTATGAGATGTCTGAATCCATGTTGGGCTTGGTGTCCTAATACTTAAATCAATAATCATCATATAACATGATATTAAAGATTTAATAATTGAATAGCGAAAAATGAATTTAAAAAGTTTAATGATCTAATTGTAACTTTTTATAGTACTGTGACCATAATGAGAATGTTGTAGAAGTTTAGTAACTAGTGGCAAATAACTTCAACTTTTTATTATTTTGAAGAGTTAATCTACAGTTTACTACTTGAACTTGACTTCAACGTTCAATTTGGCATGTAAATTTGTTTTTGTTCAGTTGGGCACATGAATTTGGCTTCAAAATTCAATTTGGTACATACATTCTTTTATCCAATTAG